CAACCTCCTCGTGGTGAGGCCTGGGAATCGGTATTATCATCGGTAAAATACTGTAAACTGATGACAATATCGAGCTAATGGCTGCGAACTTCGAATCTATCTCATAAAACCACGTTCTATATAACATCGAACTAAAATGTCTAGTACTTTGAATGTTTTAGAAAATTATTCGAGATAATGATGTATGGAACTACGGAAAATTCCAATGTTCCATAATGTCAATAATATTAATTTCCCCGCAACATCCATAATTATTACAAATGTCAATGTAACGAAATATCTTTTATGCGATGTTTGTGGTGTAATAAAAATCTGTATCTGTATTACTCACTTATATGTAATAATATAGAATAAAAATATACTGTTAGTCCGATATTTGAAAATATACATGCGTTCGTTGTCACTGTTAAACTGTTGCAATAACAATGGAATAATAAAATAATTTACTTACTAATAAATTATTAAACCTTTACATTTTGCTCAAATACGTAAATAATTGTCTTCATTCGTATACTTTCGGAAGTCAAGATATCATAAATGAATTCTGTCTCTTTGTTTTATACAATTTTATAGTATCGAAAATATATCAATTTCATCAAAATAGTTGGAAGACCATGAAATTAAAAAGGTTGCAAGACAACCTTGCAAGAAATTATTTTCCTGTCCCCTTCCTGATTCGTATAATTCCTTCCGTATGGTTACGCATTGCTTTAGACACTATTAAACCATAAATTAGGAATTAAAATTAATTTATGTATTAAGGTTATTTAAACATTTACAGAATGCAATTTTTATGACAATAGTAGCCTCGACAGGAAATAGGTTATTTAAGAAAATAAACTATTTATCAATTAAAGTTAACAATTTTATATTTCTTGGTTATTTTTGTATTACATTTTCCCGATGAATATGAGTCTTGATCTGGTAGGAATTTAAAGGAACACTGTAGAGGTGTTAAGAACTGAACACTGTGGGAATAATACTACGGTTTGTTTTGAAGCCTAACTACCATACATTCCTGCAACCGAATGTTTTAACGAACTGCTATTAGCTACATAGAGGAATATTTTTAAATAATAAAATATTTCCTCAGAAGAACAGAACCTTACTATTTAAACTGCTTTCAGTGTTGATCTTGAATCATTTCAACGGGCTTAATTGAACAATCGACATAATACATAGATATTAATATTAATATACCCTCATAATTATTTTACCACTTTCATTGGCATTCAATAGGTATCCCCGCCATTTGTTAAGTCGAATCGGCAGACTTCATTGCTCTTGCTGTCCCTCCCGCCGCGCCGTTCTCTTCTTCTTTCCACCTCTTTCCTATCCAAGTTTTTCCCACTTTTCCGCTAGGTCGGACTTTTTCTTTCGAGGAGGCGGCGAAGAGGGATACGTCGTATTTGTTAGCGGATACAACGGCTTCTCCGTCGCTTGCGCTTGCCTTCTGAATACGTTTCCCGTCTGCAACCCCAACGAGCGAGGGAGGTCGGTACCTCGTCAAGCGAACCAGTGGTTGGAGCTGCTCCCTTTTGCTCGCTCCTTTTTTTTCTTCTTTTTGTATCTATCCAGAGAAACGTATATGTATAACCCCGCATTAGTCACGCTCGTTGGAGCTTCTTTCTTAGCGAATCTCTCCATCGTAGACGCGGCTGGCATTAAGTGGGTCGGTTACAGCTTTAGGTAAGGAGAGACAGGAGGTTACGCCTCCTTCCGATCTTCCTCTTTTCCACCTTTCGGGAACCGTGTCGTCCACGGAGATACCTTGCTACTCTGCTTGGTAAAATGAAAGCATCTAGATTTAATGGGCCGGTTCGGTACTGGCTTTTTCAGTCAGAAACAGAGCCGCTGCATGGTTATTGAGTGGAACATAAACTTTGTTTGAACAGCCGATCGATGAGGTCTTTTTTTCTTTTTTTTTTTGTTCGTCGTCGCAGAATATCGGTGGTGTTACTGTTACCGACTGCAACTGATTAGTTTACTCGTTGCTTGGTAGAAACTCGATGAAAAGGTCCGATAATAATGACGGTGGTTTTAAAGATGGTTGTATAATTTCAATTTCACGTTGTTCTAGACGTAGAGACAAGTGAAAGCAGTTAAAATGTTACTTTATTTCGAAAATAAAAGAGAATATACAGATGATCGCTTCAATCACGCAAGTAGTCTGTTCGTGACAGTTCAATATCTCCGACTGCAGTAGTCTGTTGACTCCATTAGCGAACGTCGAGGCGTAGCTGTTAGAAAATCAATGAGCTAAAAATGGTACAACCAAAGATTTTATCTAGATACTAACCTTATTTTCA